CTACCTGTACACGAACACAGAAAAAAAGCACACACACAAACTAAACATCCATGCCCTGAGTGAGATTCGAACCCACGATCCCGGTTTCCAAGCGAGCGAAGACAGTGCATGCCTTAGACCGCTCGGCTACCGGCAGCGTCCCAAATAACGAGAGTAATTGCGCCTGTATAAAATGAATCCACTGAAAATGGAACCGGTCTTAAGGAGAAATTGAAGGTCGCGTAATTAAAGCCTAGAGAGAGAAAAAAGGCAAATTAGTTGATACACTGGACTGCCCAGTCTTAGTCAGTGCTGCACACAGGTGAACTGACTGTGAGTCTTAGTACTGTTTAGCATCGCACGAATGACATCAAAAACCGGAAATTGCCCGCAAGGAAGCTAATGCTGCATCTGCGAGCAATGACTGAGACAGACAGCAATCAGAGAGACATGTTGAAACAGGTTAACTTTACGACTGTCAACACAAAAGTTAGGGGAAATTTTCCGACTGAAAAATTTGGCTGAATAAAACATAAATATGAAAGAAGGTGATGTAAAATATCACCCAAAATAAATGCATATTTCTTAGACATCTCTTTAAAGGGTAAAGCCATCCCTCTAACAGGCCGTGGAGGTCCATAGGTTTGTGAGATATCGAGGCTCCCACAGTTTCTCCAGACAATCGTCTCACAGATGGCGGTAAGGTTGCCAGCCTTATGCACCGGCCACCCTTTACCCCCCGGATGATTCCTGGTACTCATTTCTGACAGCTACCTGTCTGCATTCACAAGCCATTCACCTGCTCTGAAGATGGAGACGATACGTTCCTCTGAAACGTCGGCCAAAACCCAGAAGACGACTTTCTTCATAGTCATCGCCGTGAAAACCTCAAAACTTACATTGGTTAATTTATTTCTTGATTCAATAACAGCGTGTTTACTTTTCTAGTTTTTATGTTTATTTCATTATTTACGTATTACAGTGACTACTGGCACGTGGCATCATCGCAGAGTTATTCCAGCGACACATGAAGTCCTATTCGTGAAAGAAATGTCAACTGGTGGAGCATTTGTAAAGAAAATAACTCGAAGGAAGGTGCTGTTGTGAACATACTAGAAGCGAAATTTTGTTTTGTAAATTTGGTCGCCATACATATCCCAGACATTAATAAAGATTACGACTTGTTTCGTTAGTGGGTCGAAAGACATGCTGGGAAAACCCATGTAGAAAACTAGACTAATTACAGTTCTCAAAATATCGTACCATTGGTAAAATTCTGATGAATATTAGTGATTGATAAAAGCCTAAAACATGTTAATTTTAAAAATAAAAAAATTAAGAAGTTGTTCTTTGCAAACACACACACGCACACATACATACATAAAGTTAAGAAAGGGGACGAGATGAACTCTTCCCTTAGCAAAGGGGGTGTCATTATATGAAGACTGGAAATCACTGCCTCAGTGTGAAAACGTCTCCGTATTCACGACCCGTGTTTTGTATGTTTTCCGACACAGATCGAGGTATCATTGAGCTCCTCCCCCCACTTCTGTGCACATAAACTATTCGAGAACACGAGAGTAGTAGCGTTGCCCTACTAAATATGTGAATTTCACTGCCTGTAAGCCAGCGATTCTATAGCAAATATTGCCACAAAATTCAGGAACACACAATTTCCCGTTACCTTTAACGTGGCCCCGGTTGCCGTGGAACCGGCCAACAGAGTGAAACTCCTCCATTAATCGTGCATCATAAGATGGATGGTAAAGAGTCAGTCTGTCACAGACCTTCAGCCAATCATTCATCATAATGCCAATTTAAATACGTACTTTGCTACGCCGGATAAATGCTTATTTTGGCAGCGGTCTTAGGACCTTGGTTATTATTATGGATATTTTCCGATTTTCTTACCAATATGTACCTCTTCTATAATCACGGTCTCATGGTTCCACATTCTGTAAAGTAACAACATTTCTGCAATACACAACGTTGAAATGTGCTTGAGATTCGCGGAGCAGTACACTACTGCACTGCACAGCAGGCATTGCAGCAAGATCATTTCAGAAAACTTGTTCTTTCTTATCACACAAACGAGATAGCATTTTAACAGAGTACCTGTTCTAAGAGACTACAACTGCCAGTTGTTTGCACGGAGTACATTTTTGGTACTTACCGATTATAGTATTTAATTATAAACTCTCCTATTCAAACTATACACATCATTTTCGAAATTTCACTGTTCTTTGTAGCCTGCTTTCCTTATTTTGAAAAAATGAAAGCAGGTTTATGAGATCACCATGCTCTCTGTGTGCCTGTCTTGTTACTTTATTGAGATTAGCGATCTTCACAGTATATATTACTCGTATAAGATAAGGCTTCATTAGATAAAAACGTTGCAGTACAGACTTATCTCCTTACTGAAAACATCATTCTATCTAACGTTCTAGACTTATGTCAGGTAAATTTTACCAGGACTGTTTTCACATCTAAATTGAAGTTACTTATTCATCAGTTATTTAACGTTTCTGTATCAACCATTCAGTTTATAAGCTATCGAAATACAGATGTGAGGATATATAAGTTAGTTTCAGTCGTTGAATATTTAAAACAGATTCAAATTGCGATGATTTAACATCAGCTTAAAGTTTCGTAAGTCAGTGCGTAATGACCTACATTCAACTTTGGTTGGAGTGACGTATGCTCTAGGCAGAAAATCCGTGGAATACCAGAAGTACGTTCACGTATTCTCTATCGTCGGCGTTAGAAATAAATTTAAAATTAACTTTTCATAACAGTTAACTAATTTGAAGTGCTCATATTATGAATCTAACCGAAAAGTCTTTCAATCGATTCCGGAGTGCTACTAAGACAGGATATTGGCTCTTGTGAACTGTATTCTTTCTTCCCTAGGTGTTAGTTTTGACAGAGGTGAAAGTGATAATTTGTATTGTATTTCGTTTAGCTCCGTACCTGACAGGATATCCCAAGGCTCAGCATCCTGCCAGGAAGTCCACTATTTAACTCTACCTTGACTTACTTCAATCTAATCCATATCACCACAGTCTATGACACGTTTTAACATGATTTTCTAGCCTCGTCCAAGTTTTTAGTGTTGCCACTTCGGAAGAATTTTCTCATAAAAAAATTTGCATTTATATTTCTTATATTCCAATCCAAGCTATGTGTCCAACCAATTATAATATCCATGGTATAATTATTCTATTAATATTAGGAAAAGCTTATATATTAGAGAGTATTCGTTTATGCTGCCGGTCACGGTAGCCGAGCGGTCTAAGGCATGTCTGTCTTCGCTCCCTTGAAAACCGGGATCGTGGGTTCGAATCCCACTCAGGGCATGGATGTTTAGTTTGTGTGTGTGCGTTTTTCTGTGTTTGTGTACAGGTAGAGGCCTTGTGACGAGCTGATCACCCGCCCAAGGAGTCCTACCGAATGTGTAAGATCGAGAAAAACTGAAGTGAACGGAGAAGTTCATGGAAGTAGGCCTAGGGCCACTGCGGCTGTAGTGTCAAGGAAAGAAAAAAATTCGTTTATGCTGGTATGGAAATGTGGGTACAATTTAAACTCCACGTACCATGATTTTCTTTAAATTTTCATTTCATTTATTTACTCACGTTCCTTTACATGCATTCTAACGACCATTCTGCAATATCCCCCATACCAAATTAAGGAAAACACTTCCTTCAGAACGCAAATGACGTAAGAAAATAGCAGATTCTTTTTATAACATATCTTCAGAACTTTGGTGGGAGTAGGAGATTTATTACGTAGAAATGTAGTCATTTAGAGACGAGTCCTCTATCTGCGTCTTCCTGCACTCGCTTCCACATAACAGTTATCTTGAACACAGCGAGGTCATGAACCGCAAGTCAAGCTAGTTACGGCCAGTTCTATGCCTTTGACATGTTGCAGACCGGCTTTGATTCGTACTTTTCTATTTATTTCTATTTTGTGCATTTTATTTATTGCTCATGCAGCAGATCTCGAACTGCACACTCAGCAGCGAATTAGACAGGCTATCCGCTACAAGGCTCACCAGATACGTCTATAAAATACTAGCGTGGACAGCATAGATAATTATGCTGTCTGTAATAAAATGTGTCGTCTCTTTGCTTCCTGTCTCAAAGATTAAATGTAGTTCATCCCATATATCTCGGGAAGTTTGAAAGGTCGCAGAAGTTGGACATAATTTCTGAAAGAACGCAGTACGAAAGGCCATTGTCTAGACTGCAAAGCTCCGGCAGACGCAATTATAAGTCGGATATTCAGTTCAAAATAAGATTAATTTAATTACTGGTTTTCTTTAGCCTCAGAATTGAAGTTAGTAAAAATATCTTATGAATAACATGTAGAGGAAATTTACAGCCATTACCAAAAGGCGAGTTACAGAAACTGCTTTAAAGAAAACTACACCTTATACCCTGGCTTCTAACTTTCGAAATAAATTTGATTTTAATACAGTACCTAAAATAAACATATATAACAGTCAATATATCTACTTTTTGACACATTCAAGAAATAAATTGCATTCATATAAACTTCATGATTTTCCATAGCTCTCAAGATGCCGTTCAAAATGAAATTAATTTTAATTTAATTACCAGTTTTCTTCTGCCTCAGAATTAAAGTTAGTAAAAATAACTTATGAATAACATGTACAGGAAGTTTACAGCTATCACCAGGGGGCGAGTTTCAGGAACTGCTTTAAAGAAAGCTAGAATTAATACCCTGGAATTTTAAATTTGAAATAACGTGGATATTAGCATATCACACGAAAACATTTACATTATTGTCAATTACTTTTTGACACACTAAAGAGATCAGTCGCATTTACGTATACCTCATGAGTGTCACTAGCTCCCAAGACGTTTTGAGTAAAATAATTACTGTGCCATGAACGAAAATCAAAGCCAAGACCATTTTCGTGGACATAAATGTAATGGTTGGCGGTTATTGTCTGGAAAATACGAAATGTGAAGGAAATTTATATAATTTAACATTTTATCATTTTTGCCTGAAATATTTTTCAGTCGAGTAGGATTTATGATTTGTATAAGTGAAGGCGTGAGGACGTATTTAGATCTTCTGACTATGGACCAACTCTCCGGTAGTGGAACCTGAAGACTCGTTGCTCATACCAAAGATGGCCATGGGATAAAATTCTGATCAATTTCCACCTACTTCCCATCATCACAATCTAGATTCTTGATGTCGCTTTTTAATATTATCCTCCCATCCGCTTCTCGGTCCTTCAAATGGCTGTTTTCAAGAGGTCTTAATATCAACATTCTGTATGTATTTTTATCGGATTATAAGAGCTAAATATCGAAACCAGCCACCTTCCCTGATTTTGCCACTCGTACAGATTTGTATATACCATAAATTTTCTTGCCAGATCATTAATTCATCCCTCTTAGGTCCAAATATGCTCCTGACAGTATTATTTTCAAACATCCGTAGTGAAGACTTTTCCTGAACAGACAGTTTCACATTGAAGTGTTGTAAACTTGTATGTCACACTGGACTGAAAATTATCCAGAATGAGACAAATCCAATTAGTTTCACAAGCGTTCAAAATAACTGACGAAATTACTGTTTACTATGGCATGATCTTTAGTGATACTGGAATCGAACAGGGTGATATCAATTTTGAAACTGAACTAAGAAGTATATTCTAAAATAACAAAACCATTTGGACTAAGACTAAATAATGCATGCGAATTTCATCCAGTAAGAATTCGACAATACCAAGTTTAACTAAAATACAAATCGAGTTTTTGTTACATGCGTACATACATAGACTGACCCACAAAGAATAGTATGATGAAATTAATAGGTACTTCGGCACAATTTTGAAACGTACCCACATAACAATATTATTATGTGAAAATATTTCAATGCATTCTACTATGGAACATTGATCACTGGTGGTCTACAACGCTACCTACATATAGGTACAAGAGAATACGAACGTGAGTCTCGTGTTCGAATGAAGGCTTCTTCAACTCATGTAAAAGTGTTGATCAAATAAGTAAGTATAAGATTTGAGGCTTTCACGGCGGTGACTATGAAGAAAGCATAACTTTTGCGTCGTTGCCTCTTGTGTAAAGATTCACAGATGCTAACTGCATCACCTATAATATCCGTTAGGAAATCATTTCCTTCAATTCCTTTGGACTATTCGAGACGGTTCAGATTGTTGCGTTTCAAAGTGTCTATCCAAATTCGACACCAGACGTCATTCTGGTGAATGAAGCAGAATTATTTTCCTAAGTAAAATGAAGCTTTGTAATTTATACTCTTCATAAAATGCTATTAGGTAAGGTTAAGCTATCCTTGTAACATGCCATGGAGGCCTGTAGGGTTGCGAGATGTCGAGGCTCCCACATTTTCTACGCAATCGGCTCACAGATGGCGTCGAGGTTGTCAGCCTTACGCGACGGCCACCTTTTACCCCCCCCCCCAGGAAGATTTCTGGTAGTCATTTCTGTTAGAGGCTGAGTCGACCACAAGACAATAGTGCGGCTAGAAGGATTAGGGTACTTACTTACTCATGGAGCTGAGCCCTTCTGGAGGAGCCGCCAATTCTGCAGCTACTCAAGAATTTCTCAGCATTTTATGGAACCCGAAGGTTCATTACCGTGTTCACAAGAGCCCTCCACTGGTCCCTATCCTGAGCCAGAGCTATCCAATCCATACCATCCCATATCTCTCTAAGATGAATTCTAATATTGTCCACCCACCTAGGCCTTGGTCTTCCCTGTGGTCTCTTTCCTTCTGGTTTTCCAACCAATATCTTATACGCATATTGGAAAAATCCAATGACCTCATGGGGAATCGAACCCGCGACCTTCCAGCTTGTAGTATAGTGCCTCAACCAACTGCGCCACCGCGTGCCCCCGTCATAAAATTCACGCGTGGAAGAGCTGAAAATCGCAAAGAAGTTTGGCATCGAAGACATATCGTTGATGGGAGTACACGAGTAACAATAAAATGGCTATTAAATAAATATATCATGAGGGTAAGGTTTGATTCATTTGGCTCAGAATATGACCATTGGCTGGGACTTGTGAACGTGGCATTGAACCTTCGGATTCCATCATGGGAGAGAAATTTTTTCTTCGACTGCGCGGCTGTTAGTGTCTCACGAAGGACTCCATGGAGATGATTCCTTTGAAAATTTGTTTCGTGTTTAGTTGAAAAGAGATCACAATAATTTCCTATCCAGTCATTACATAGTTATTGATTATTTCTAATTTTATTTAATGGCACCGTTATTATGGTTAATGAAGCACGTATGGGGAAATATACAAACCTTTATGCAATTTTAACCTAGACAGTAGGTAGAGGTGAAAACCAACATCAAGCTCGAGCTAATCCTCATGGACTTCATAGCAAAAATAAAGAATCCGTGTTGGAAATCAAACCCCTGTAGTCCAGTCTATTAAAGTAATGATCGAGTAAGATTAAGTCTACGAGTCTCTTATGGGTATTTTGTGTGATAATAACATTCAAAATTCCTAGAAATACGTTAAATTAGTGCTTTTACGCATTCCTTATAACTTGTCAGTTTAAATCTTCTGCGACGTCAGATTTAGCAATTTTTAGCAGTGAACCAAATCAGCCCCGTAATTTTAGAGTTCACTGATATGGCGTCAAGGCTGCGGTTACAGATCATGTCGATCGTTGTAAAGTCGCAGTTTCCAAATGCACGCGCCTTCTTTTCCCTGCCGTTTTCTATAAATATCGGGCGGTGGAGGGGACGAATGCGTGAGGTCGTGGTGATTTTCCTTAGTCCCTCCGGGAATTGCTAAGACAGTAATTCAAAATAGGGCAAGCCCGCTTCCTTTCGTAACCGTTACTCACATACAAACCTATCATTCGAGACTACATGACCTAAACCATTGATAATGCGTCTTTAGGTACGTCAGTAATACATCAAGAATTACTATCTTTGTATATAGAATTCTATTTCTCCAGGAGTGGCGCTCTACATCTACTAAAGCTACTTGATATCGACAATAAATGAGACAGTGGGATTAAAGGAAGGCACGAGGAAAGCTCTCTACATATGGCACGTGGGTTGAATGACTGGTATTCATCGGGGGGGGGCTGTTAAATCTTGGTCTATAAGAATATGCGATTCTGCCCCCGCATAATATAAATCTTCATATACTTCATTCTGTTCTTTCACTGAAACCCAATTCCCCTCAACTTGCGAAAATTAATTATGTTACATTATTTCAAAGGAGCCAGGATAGCGCAGTCGGTATAGCTACTGGCTGGAGGACCGAGGGGTCGGAGTTCGAGTCCCGGCAGGATCAAGAATTTTCTTTTCTCAACGTCGTCCAGACCGACTATGGAAGTCAACCCAACCTCCTATCCAATGGGTATCGGGGGTTAATTCCCCGGGGGTAAAGCGGCAGGGACGTGAAGCTGACCACTCACCTCCAGCCAGTGTCTAGGTCAAGAAAATGTGAGTCTATACATCCACTACCCCATACGTCTTCATGGCGTACTGCTTAATTAGTTAAGCACAGGGGAAACTTTACGATCGTTTGCCCTTCAGAACAGTTCCAGTGCTGGAAAGTGACAGTATACAACGTATTAATTAAAATTACTTTAAAGCATTGTGTGGCCACTTTTATAAGCAAAGAGTTTGTAATTATCATCATATGATGCGAAAGAGCATTATTTACGTACATTCCGCGAACTTTCGCTTGTGCTGATTCTAGCATATAAAGCTTTCAAATTCAGGACAAGCATTTGCTGCATGATTGGAAAGGCGGTGTGTTCACGCGTGCACTAAAGATACATTTGCTAGGATCCGTCGAGTCACTTCGTTTACGGCTTTATTCTGCTGTACGCACAACGAATCATACAATACCTTCCTATACAAGAATACTGTCCCTTCCTTTGGAATCCAAAATTGATGCCTGCATATGATAATGCATAGAAGTGTACACACTGCCGCTATCATCCATTACAACGAGAACAAAAACATTTATGTAGAAACAGAATAATTTAACTAATTCCATGAGGAACAGTCGTTCTTGAGAAGTTAACATTCACTCATCTAGCCACGAAATTTTCCGTCTTTTATGAAACCCACTGCCTTGTTCACAGCAACCCACCACTGAAACAAATGAATCCAGTCCACATGTTCAAATGTAATTTCTTCAACAAAGACTTTAACATTATATTCCCATCTACGCCTGTGTCTTCCCCTCAAGCTTTACAACTAAAATTTTGTATGTACTCATAGCTCTCAACCCTCCCATGCGTTCTACATGTCCCGTCCATTCATCCTCTAAATTGATCACACACATATATATCATCAAAAACAAACTATGAAGCCCCTTGTTACGTAATTTTCTCTATGTTTCCTCTAATTCTTCTCTCAGGTTTAAACACTATCTTCAGCACCAAGTTTTGAAACACACCCCGAACTGTATTCTTCCCTTAGGCAAAGACAAAGCTTCACATACATACAAAACAGGAAATTTTATATACCCTTAGATACGAAACTGCTGTCCCTGTGCTTAACTAACTGAGCACTACGGCATGGAAACGTATAGATCCAAAGTACTGTCACGTGTTGGGTATGTACGTGTATCACGCGACAAAAAACTTCACGCCGTCTTGGATATAGTGAATTTATTCCACTCGCTTTTACACTTATACACTTCACAATTCTACAACTACTGTCATCTGCAGTATCACAGTTACTTCTCCTGCTTCCATTCACTCCGGCGAATGCTAGACTGCAACTGACTGGTTACTCCCTCTCAAGTCAAAGTCAAAGTCACACTGCGACTGATGGTCAGTCAGTCAGTGAGTCTTGGTGTCGAGCCCCATCTGGGGCTCATGACCAGATATTAATTATTACCGTTTGACAGTTATGGTCTTGCTTCTGTGGGGCGCCCTCTCTGACGAGAAGACGGGCCTGTCTTTTGTATATGCTGTTGGCCCTAGCCAGTGCAGTCTTTCTTGGGTCCATATTTTCCTGTCTCAGATTTGAGACTTCCCTTTTCGTCGCCTCCTACGACTCGCAGGGTCACGCTGGAGGTATTCGACCCCGCCTCCACACGGGGTACTCACTCCCTCTCACTGACGAATACTCCTGTTATGTAGCTTCCGCACTGACAACACAGAAAACAGTTACGTGATAGTTTTCACTGTTGCGTGACGCCGTGTTTACAAAGGTGTTGTTGGGCAACGCTGCGTAGCAACCAGCGTGTTTCGGCTGCTCGGCACGGCGAAACACAGCTTTCCTTACTGTTGTGTAACCTAGTTTCCACTGTTGCGTAACTTAGCAACCGACCGTTTATCAAGGGTCTGTCTTCGTAGTAACTCGTTCCACCTCCCGCTGCCCAGCAACGGTTAGACATGTCACGGTATTCTTGACCTCAGCACTGGTTCAAGGTGAGTGGTCAGCTTCACGCCTGGCCGTTTTACGCCGGTACCCATCGCATAGGAGGCTGGGTGAACCCCCGGACCGGTCTAGATGTGCGGCGGGGAAACTCTTGCCCCTTGCTGGGCTCGAACTCCGACCCCTTAGTCATTCAGCCTGCAGCCACTTGCAATACCTTCTGCGCGATCCCGACTGGCAGAGAGGAAACAAAAGCAACAAATACTGTGGACTATACGGTGGCAAGCATTTCCAATATTTAGTATGTTTCTAATTTCCTCAGGAATGTAATTTCGATTTGTTACTGCCGTTCCCAAGTATTTGTAATTTGCTGTATTTTCAAAGGACTTCTAGCACCGGCGATTTCTTCTAATCACAGTTGCCAAAGACCATAAATTATATGCTTTCTTCAGATTAGAGACAAAACGTCACATTCATACATATCACAACAAATTATGATTTTGCATATTTGAACACTGTGGCTATCTGACAGATGAACATACGACAGTGAACTGAATGTTTCAGTTTCTTGAATTTCAATCTACTCTTAATTTCTTCGTGATTGGAATTTCTGCTATAACCAAGGCGACAGCTGATATATACTAGGATATGACCCCTGCCAATCTTTATTCCACCAAATTCTCCATCATTATAATCACCCGGGGCAGGCTACAACAGGCCAATCAGTGGCCACCGTGCCGAGTGGAACCAGTTGGAATATAATACATATTCAACTCAGGCAGAAACTGTGTTAATACAAGCGACTGCCGTATTAACATAAACCACTTCAAATGTGACATACAGGGTTTGTCCGAAAAGTAATGCATGTTTTTTCCCGCCGCTCCTCCTGGTCGTAGCGCGTTCGGACCGGTTGGGTAATGCGGGGGGGGGGGACTCTTAGCCTCACAAAGCTTCCAAGCTCAGTCTACTTTGGGCGTCAGGATCGCTGTTTCCGTGAACCTCCTGTTAGTGCCTGTGTCACGGCGCGCAATGGAGAAAACTATCGAACAACGTTACGCGATCACGTTCTGTGCTAAACTGAACAAAAGCCTCGCCGACACTCACCAAATGATTCAGGAAGCCTATGGGGACGCTGCTCTCTCCTATTCTCAAGTCTCCAGGTGGTTGAAGTTTAAAATGGTCGGGAAGAGGTGGAGGATGACCCCCACTCCGGACGGCCGTCAACCAGCAAGTGACAAAGGGTCTCGTGTTCATGATCTTTTAAATACCGATCGCCGAATGATAGCAGAGACTCTCAGTATTCCGAAAACCACTGTGCACGACATCGTTACAGACAGGAAACTGGGTCGTCCGCACTCTAAAGGAGATCGCCGCTACCTGGCAGGTGCACCACGACAACGCTCCCAGCCACACTGCTCTGCGCGTCCGGGAGTTTCTGGCCAAGCACAACTTGGCAACGTTGCCCCAGCCCTCCTACAATCCTGACCTGGCTCCGGCACACTTCTTTTTGTTCCTGAGGATGAAGACTGCCCTGAAAGGAACCCGTTTTGGAACCACTGAAGGGAGCCAAACCGCCGTGACAAAGGCTCTAAACGAGGTGCCCGTCGACGCCTTCCTGGATGCGTACCGTGCATGGAAAAGTCGCCGGCAAAAGTGTGTGGATGCCCAAGGGGAGTACTTTGGAGAATTTTAAACGTTTGTAACGATATATTGAATAAATTTTTTTATGAACTGCATTACCTTCCGGACAAACCCTGTACAACAGATCAAAGCGTGTAACATCACATACGCAGTGTACTGTGTTCTACAGTATAAAATCTTCCCTTCAACTATCCCAAACAATAAATATATAAAACTAAATCAAACTCAAAATCTGTGTTGGCCATACCATTATAAAACTAAATCAAACTCAAAATCTGTGTTGGCCATACCATATAATCATAAGGTCAATTTCAAAAATATGCACTACTCACAAGTTTATTTCCACTTTTCCACTTCTTGTAGTATGACAGTGGCATAAAGTTGTGAATACATTTATAAAAACAACTGATGATGCCTGAAATACCCATGACAGACTTATCTTTCATTCACACAGAGGGCATTAACCATAAAACCAATGACAGCACGAAGCAACAGAACCAGCCATACCTAATTTTTAAAAAATGAATCAAACTTTAATATCTAGATGCTTTCTGTATTTACAGAGCTCTTGTAGAGCAGTAAGAGATTTTTCCATATCCATGTTCCAAACATTTTTCTCAAAAATACAGTTATTGAAATCACGTCTGAGAAAAAAGTAACGAAATACCTGTATGTTAAATTTTCTGCAGTTGTATTTTGTTAAGCTGTTACTTCAATATTACCTCACCTCCAGTGGTATGATGGTGTTAAATTTTGGAACTGGATAGGACTGATGAGGAAGTTGTCCTTGTTTAGGATGGGTTAACTGAAATTAAGAGAGAGGAATACACATAAATGTCTCAGCCAAAATAATTGTCAAGGTTTCACTTTTGATACACCGATAAAAAATACACAACAAATTTTTATAGACTGCCAAACAAATTGAGACACGGTGTTAATGAAGCAATATTCCCCAAATTAGTAACAAAAGAACAGTTTATGAAAACAAAATATTTCAGGATGGTTCTGACTGTGGAGAAATGTCAGGATTGCAGAAGAATTATTCACCATATACTATGCAATACTGTTACACTGTGAGGACTAAGAGAAGGATAAAATATGTCATATTAGCAGACTTCTAATTCAATTCAGTGTATCACTGAAGGTTAAAATGCAGAGGAAGAGCTTCAGTGGTTATTTGTTTCTAACTTACAATCATCCTGTATGAGACTCCTCACTAAAATTTGGAATTTAAACTGTGTAACCAGAATGAAGAGAACAGATAATCATGAATGAAATGAAAATAAATTATAAGTACCTTCAGACTTGGCAAGTATTACATTGTATTCATAACTGTTCTCCTTTATAACACTTTAATATTATAAAAGTACTCATATGTCAGTTTACCACAGTGACACATAAAATAACTGTTTTGTTTTAATACATTCAGCATTTCTTTTATTAAATCCTATGAAGCAAACAAATGTGAAATGTTGATAACCCAGTTGCTGACCAGAAAATGCGATTCTATGCATGCATGAATACTTATATGTATCTAATGATTTTTTATTATATATCAAAAACATCCAGGCACCAAGGTACTTTGTACATAAAATGGCCAGGACTCATGTGTTGTAGGAGTTACACACAAATATAAACAACTGCAAAGGATGTCAGTCAGACTCACTTGCTGAGGAATCAGGAAATATTCTGCTTTATTTTTGATGAGATGTTATAACTAACACTACCATCAAGAGTACACAATGCATGCACACATTTGTCTTTACTGTACCCCTGTAAGAAACCAACATATTTCATTGCTCAAGCCACAGAGATACTAGAAACCAGAAGCTCACAGTCCACAGCTGTTTAAGTATATACTTGCTTTCAGATCCATCACCACGATAACAGATGTCAGTCAACTGAAATGAAATTCAGAGGTTAAAGGTATCTCTGAAATGCAACTCTCTAATTTAAAATGAGAATTTAATTCAAAACACCTTATTAAGACTTTGTGATACCATACTTTAGCTTATATACCAACTGTACTATACCCTTCACTGTGTGAAAGTACAAGCAGATTAAATTTGTCTCAATAATTTATTTTTATATACAATGAAAGAATGTGAAATACTTGTAGTCTTTTTAGGTTTTGTTGCACTACAGACATGAAATTTCAACTTCTAAAACAAGCATATTACAAAAAGCAAGCACAGGAAATTGTAAATCTCTTACATTACATTCATTTGCAATTACAGGAAGATCATTCACTTATATTAATGCAATATGCTTTGTCATTTATTTATGGGTGTATCCAAAAAGTAATTATTTTGAAAGGAACTAAGAATTAAACCTTCTGAAATGGGAATACTTACAGCATGAATGTATACTTAGAAAAATTGGAGAAAAATTAGTTAAAGAAACCAAAACAAAATATGTATGTAACTGTAAAATCATTTTGAAAAAAGTCCAGAAGAGAGGACACATGGAAGTATTCTGGAAATAAATATTACAAATTTTTGAACATACAAGCTAAGTAGTTACATGCTACATGGTACTTCTCAGAAATGATGACTTACTATGACATAGTATATTTCAATAACACAGTTTTAAGTAAAAAAAAATGCTGTGCCTTTTGTCACAAAAACATATCAGTAGCTAATTTAATTATGTAATGGGGCACACATTAACACAGGAGTGTATTAAGATGGAAATTATGAATCATTATGGAAATGTTGGTTTACAAGGAAAATGTTATTCCATGCCTGGGAGCATTCCACCAGAGAATTATATTCACACTGATAGAGACAGTAACCAGTGGCTTTTTTTGTCCTTAGTAGCCCAGTTTGAATGGTCTTACTTGGAGAGCAACAAAGGTGACTCCTGCTCACTATATATGAAAGGCATTCTTGCACCACTTAACTCTACACCCTCTGTACATACATGCTCAACATTATTTCCCATGTCTCCTTAAGACATATTACAAAGTCTGATATAAGAGAGTCAAAGAATTTTTTATATCAGTAGTTCAGAGATTTGAATCTCAGAAAAAAACTAACTCCATGGACCTGAGTCCTTCCTTAGAAGACAACAGTCACTCAAGAATTTCCTAACATTTTACACAACCTAGAGGTTCATTAACACGTTAAAAACAGCCTGCCACTGGTCCCTATCCTAAGCCAGATGAATCTAGTCCACACCACATTATCCAATGTGTCTAAGATCCATTTTAATATTATCCATCTACCCCTATATCTGGGTCTTCCTAGTGGATCCATTCCTTCTCAATCTCACAATATGAAACACATTCTATATTTAAATGGACTTAGGTACTTATACCATCGCCAATAATCCACCATACAAAATGGAAATTTCAGCAATCTATATAAATAAAAATTAGTTTTCAGTAAACTGTTAAATGATGAACCATATAAAGATACAAAGCCATAATTTGGTCATATCTATGTTCTAGTCAATGGCAATTTCTGACACACTGCATTTGCAAGTACCATTTATATAATCCTCATTAGGAGAAGCATATGATGCAAATAGAAAAGAACTACATGGAGGACATGAAAATGTCTAAAAACATTAAACCACCAGACCTTGATGCAACTGAAATCGCCAACTTTAACATTTGCAGTTGTCATTATACTTGCACTTAGTTACCAAGGTCTGCTTCATTTGCTACTCTTGAAACTATATATATTGAAAAATAAATTAAAGAAGAACAAAAAATGAGATCTGAACATGAGCTTTTTTAAAACTCAGTATTATGACACAAAACACAAACCTATTTATGCTTAGTGTTAAGGAATAATTTTTTATCATATACACTGGAATGCACGAAGGGAAATACTAGGAAGCATGATCTTCCTAAAAACTGAAAAAACAGGAGAGATCTTTCTCAAGACATTGTTTATATAATTACCAAGAAGCTCATACAACTTCAAATATAGAGGATTAATACATCTAACAGGACTCGTTCTACAGAATATGTATTCTTAGAAACAGAACTGCTTCTTTATGAAACCAGTTCATAAAGTCTTTACAAATGCAATGAAAATAGGAGAAATTCAAACCAATAATCCTTGTCTGATGATGTTTTATGCTTGTCAAAATCAGCCAGTACTTGCTCTTAAACTGGAAGGAAAGTGACTACTGGAGTAATTAACAAGGCAATCTGATAATCTCTTATATAATCCTTTTCAGGGAACACACGTTCTAAAATTAATGAGACACTACTTCCAAAAATGGCTCTGAATACCATTATATCAAATATACAAAATAAAAAACACCTTGCTAAATACTTATTAAAAGGTACTATCATTTAATCAACATCACTATATCTTCCAAAATTAGGCCTAGATGACCTGTTATAAGCAGCAGAATCCATGCCTGTTCCATCTTTCTACAGGTCTAGCCAAGCATTTACTTCCTCTAGGCTGATATTTTATGACAATCATTTTGGAGGATAATCTGAAGCGAGAACAACTCGAATATATTTCAGTTCCTATAGTGTTTGGTATCTCTGTATTATGCAAAAACTAAACCATGTTTTAACAACTCGATGCCCATCTGTGATTAAAAAAAAAAGTAAAGCTATTCCTGTAAGAGGCCATAGAGGCCCACATGGTTGTGAGATGTCCAGTCTCCCACATTTAATAGACAACTGGTTCACATATGGCAGTGAGGTTGCCAGCCTTACACGCAAGATGCCCTCTACCTCCAGGAAGATTCCTGGTTCTCATTTCTGTTATGATTTCCTTAATTTATTTCACTCCTTTAGGTGGGTTGGGCATATGATTTTCACTGTAAAAAGCTTTTCTTTTTCAGCACAAGCACCAATGTAAATGATAAATTGCCCTATACACTTAATCATCACATCAAGATGTTGAGGTAAAATTTCATGCATTCTAGACCTTGACACAAGATGGCCAGCTTCATGTTCAGATACTTTACCCAAGGAAAGAGAAACCAAGTGCATAATGGATAGGCAGTAGGGTGCAATCTAAGCCTGGCTGGACACACCGGCAAAAAGCAAACTCCTTATCCATGCTGCAAATCAAATTCCAGTCCTATAACCTGAGACAAACAGCAGACATTTTGAATTTAATGTGCATGGTCTGGATGTTAAAAATGGTACTGGCCAAAATTAAGCACATGACTCCTTACATCAACCAAATTTCAGTTTACCCACTGGTAATATCATTTTGTGCAAATACTGTATAACAATAAATTTTAAATTAATCTATGCTTATTAAAAAAATACTGTAAGTATGTTTAAGCACTTCCTTCTCATGGCAACCTCTGCTGCTAGGCTGAGTGGTATATGTCCTGTTCTTATTGTGAAATTAATGTAGTTAATATTAACAGTGTATTTAATCCTACCAGTCTGTTAAGCACTTCTCACCCTCCTCCTGCTATGAGGCATGGTGAAACTGACTGAGTTGCGGCATAACAAACAAGGTGACTGTGACTGAAAATGCTAATTAACAGAGACAGTCAAGAAGGCTATCCTATATTACTTTTTATATGTTAATAGTGTCAAACAAATTGTAGCACCTTCAGCACACTTTAGTTCCATATTTGATTATTATTCTTCATATTCTGTCTCCAAGACACATCTTTATGAAAGTAAAGGAATAACTTTCTATTAACATCATAATCATTACTGAAAGAAGAAAGAATAAATTAATATAAGTGATCTACAGTTCTCAAACTTCATGTTGTACTTCAGGCTTTGCAGGTAACAAATAGTTTGTACTGTACCTATTAATTTAACAGATTTTGAACAATGAACATTAGAAAGTGCGTGTTTAAATGAAAAGCACACTGAACTATTTGAAGAGGATTATGAAATGTTTACTGGATGACTTTTAATTCAACTTATCATAATCATCTTTTCTCAAAGTATGTCCAATTAATATTACAACTGTATGAACTATAACAAATGGACACCCAGTTCTAGCCAGTATTCTCGACAATAAGCATATTCCCATGCTTATGTAGGATGGATCTGAAATTCAGCATACAGGTACATTATCCAAAATGTTCTTTAGAATGAAAGATTTTAAATATGTCACCATCAAATTTCAAAATCACTAGCTAATACTGTTTACCATTTTTGCTACTAATGAAAAAAAAAACACTCAGGCGCATATATAAAAAGAAGTTAACTGTAATTCTGAAGAAAGCAGTCTTCTGGGATTTGGCACCGTTTCGGAGGAACGTATCGCCTCCATCTTCAGTGAAGATGGAGGCGATACGTTCCTCCGAAACGTCGGTTAACACCACATATACACGGTGCCAAATCCCAGAAGACTGCTTTCTTCATAGTCACCGCCGTGAAAGCCTCAAATCTTACAACTGTAATTCTGTTCACCACTACGAGTACAGCATCATCTGCTACAGGCAAAGCCCATTATGACAAAAAGATTAGTCATTATCCATTCCTGAGTGGTATACTGTGTCTATCCAGACTACACTGGTTCAACTTGTGTAGGGCTTTTCTTTTTAATTTACATTAATAACTGTATGTTCCATATTTAACTGCACTGTGACATGATGTCTAGACACCAGAAGCTTCAGATACTGCAGAAGTATGTATTACTAGACAATAACAAGCACCAATCCCAACAGCCACATGCATGCACAGCAGTCAAGGACCAGCTGGAGGCGGTGTTTTCACGTTGGTCTGCAATAAAGCAATATAACAAGAACCTGCGAGCTAGCATGGCCTCAGGATCTAAGCCTGCAAACCTAGGAACGCGTCCATGACAACAGAGTCGGTGATGAATTGAGTAAGAGCAGTATAACAGACTGTGAACCAATGTAAATACTTGTAAACTGTGAATCATGTGTTGCTATAAATCAGTGCCCAATAAAGCAAATTACCAACTACAACCCATAGTTTAGTCACGTATCACATGACAGTATTAACTGAATGATTCAACCTGATTACTACTCCAGTTTTGAAATTCCATATTCAAGCCTATTCACTATATGAAGGAATTATCAACAGAATACATCACAGTTAAAACAGTAATGTTTCACCATTAGCACCAGGATTACATACACTTTGAAGCTGAAAGCAAGTATAACCATCCATCAAACCTAAAACTGTCCCCAACCCTGCCAATAGCAAGGCCCATTCACTTTGAACATTGAACAGATTTAATCTCAAACCTAGTATCATTTTAGTGGAAATGGCTTTCTGCTCTGTACAGATGCACTACCACTATATAGCAAACCTGTATTATATAACAAAGTTCAGCAGAAAGCACAATTCACATCTCACTAGATCACACTTGTGGTACAGGTTCCGTATATATCATATTCTGCTATATTATTATAACAGCTCATTTAGCAGACAAATTCCAACAAAGTTTACAGATATAAGAAAAAATAATATACCTACATTATACAATACATTATCAATATTGTTATATAAATTCCCTGGAAATACTGTGACAAGAAGTCCCGGCACTGTACAATGGAAGTAAATACAATATGGGAGAGCAACACCCTCTAACTAGAATCCAATACGTAACATGCTATCCTATATGAAAAGGGGCCACTCTGGCAAATGTACCATGAACTGTCCATTAACTGACAATACATTCATCCACAGAAACATACTAACGACAAATTTGAGCATTTTTTCCCTTTCTCTGAAAATCAGTTCAAGTAACAGCTTGGAATACATGTACAGGATTAAGTTTTACAATGTATTTATTGGTAGAGATGCTTAATATCTTAATAATCTTGAAGCCAAAACATGGTACAAATAAATTACATTCCTGTAACAGCAACCAAATATTTTTTACAAAAATCGATCAACAAAATGGACCCTTTCCACACAGAGCATCATACACTGGCACCTCGCACACCAAACACTTGGCAACTTTTACACAGCTGGCACCATTATATTATTGTTATTATTATTTTATTACCATTATTATATTACAACTGAATTATATGAATGCTTGTCATCAATTACAAGATTTCTTACATTTAAAATAGGCTAGTAAATTAACTGGAGAACTGTATCTGAAGTCCTTATAATTTATAATGTCCAACATCCCCGCAGGCCAGCGGCAGGTAAGAGGCTCATTACACAACATGATCCAAGGCTACAGTTACAGAGAAATGAAAACACATATATATGGAAATAATCAATGCTCAAACCTGGTGTTCCCTGCCCCAAATATTATACATATTACATGGCCAAAAGTTTTACTGAAATATAAAATGGAACTGGGCAGATAATAACGACAGTGAATCAGGTAACTAAAACCCTCATACCATTTAACACACAACAAACTTCCCAATTATGTACGATGTCTTTCATCACAAATTTGTTTGTGTAACACAACTTCTGTGAAGTTTCACCAAAGTAATATAACACGTCTCCCCAAATATATTAAAATCCTCAGTCTACTTATTTGTACAATGAAATGTTTGTCATTTATGCTGATCTGACTAATCATTTATGAGAAGGTTCAATTCTGTTACTATTACCTTTCAAAAATTTTCTGTGCATTGTACTGGCATTGTAGTCTTTAGATAAAGCAATCAAGGAGATTCAAACTATTTTAAAAAATTATGAAGTTGGTGTGTATGTATGTATATATATATATACACACACACATATATATAAAACAATGTAAACAATGTGTTTCATTTATATCCAATGCAAATGTTGTGTTCTATGTACACTCCACTATCAATAGAGACCTGCAACAGTTAACTGCACAGATTTTTGGGTGTCACATGGGCACTACATGTGTATTCTGACTTCATACCTCCATTATCACACACTTGAATTCTAGCAGCCTCAAACATAATCCAGCACACAAAAGCAATCCAATATCCAAAGCTGTAATTCCTGCCACAATTATTTTATGCTGTCTTTTACAACCTAGCATTACATTATTTTACCTTATTACCGAAAATCTTCCAAATCTGACCTAGGTTATCATTTCTGTGTTACAGCAATTGTAAAGCTGAAGTACAAGCATGCACTCTAGGGTCAACTAAAATTTCAGTCCTACAGCCCTAAATGATTGCTAAAGATTTCTCTATTAGCAAAACACTATTATCAAATTATGATCCAGAGATGAAGGTGGGATCCAAAATACTGATTAACAGATAGTTCTTGAAGCTATTTTAATATGTATTAGGCTTAAGCTGATGTCTAATTCCATTATATATCTAATACTGATTTTTCATGTTATGCTATTTGCAGGTGCTCTGGAAGCTGAATCATCTTAGTTTGAGAATATTTTATTCCACAATGGTGTGCAGACCAGTCACTTACCTTGCTGGAAGCTAATTAACATGCTTCCAAAAGTCACGTTACATTACACATTACTTACCCAAACAACTATTAAAATGTAAAATTTTATGAATCGTTTCAGCGTTGTTTAAATGATTTAATTCAAGTGTGTGCTGAATGCTGGATACCTGCTCCCCTCTGCTTTGCACCACACATCGGCCACTACACAAGCACTCACTGCTCTTGCCATATTACTCACACTCAGCTTCCTGGTTTATTTCCTGGGACTGCTCATCAGTATGATGTGAATGTCCACTGTCAGTGCGCTGATGTCACGCACTCGTCTCCTGTTCACCCCATCCCTCACTATCATATTCACTCTCAGACGCTGAATCTGAATCGGAAAATTCAACAGCCACTCGACGGGCCAAGATAGATGCAACATCATGTAATGCATTCACACGTTCTACTTCCTTCTGTTCATTTTTTTCAACCTTCCTTAGCTTAATTCCTGTAAAAAGAAACAAAACATACATATGAACCAGTTTGAACTTGGAAAACTACAACAAAATTACTTCTTCAAACATATATCAACATATTTATATTAAAGACATAATCTACCATCACGTATAGCCTTGAGCAAATCGCTCCTTGGATCAAAGGCAGGTGCTGGTGGATTGGCCGGTTTGTTACGAGTAGGGTTCTCCATCTTAGGAGGTGACTGTTTCGGTGGTGATGTGGAAATTATCTACAAACATAAAGGAAATTTATTATGTCATGAAATATATAATATATACATACATATGGAGAATCATGAACTTCACCCCAGATCTGAAAAGATATAATAAACTGATCATATATAATTAGTAATTATTATGCTTCTGAGACTTGGCACAAACATGTTCCTAACAACAATAACAAATCTACATAGGAAATATAACATAACAATATGAAGACTTCTATCATACTATTTACTTTATTTTCACTAGAACAGTTCATCAAAAATACCATAAAAGCAACTGGCAATAATAAAGGCACAGATTTGAATGATGGGAACATTGCATCTGAGATCAAATGACTAAAACCAAAAATACTTCTGTTGATGATAGCCTGGAATAGATCACCCATCCACATAACACCCAAAACATAAATGCTTCATTCTTATAATGGCTTTCCAATCAGTAAAAAGAGACTGTGAGTGAGCAAGAATGAAACATAAATTTTCTTCAGTGCTATATTCCTCTGATCCTTATGGAAAATAAGCACATGTATATGTAATGTAAAACTACCTCTAACTGCCACATCAAAGACTATTTAACATGAAGGAGAAATCTTTGAGTGTACGATATGAAAACTTAACTGATAAAAACTGCCACTTAATTTTGTTATGCCCTGTAGTGCTGAGAATTTACCCAAGGAGACCAAAAACTAAAACTTAATTTTGTTTTGTAGTTCACAGAATCTAACTGCATTGAAGATCTAATGTGCCTTTTATTTGAAACATTAAAACAGTCAAGATGGGCATTATGGAATATTCCTACCTATTCTGTTGCAGTTAAGTTTGTGAATGGCTTTGACAAACACTCTACCCAAAAAGTTCTAGGCCACAAATATTCATGCTAATGAAATGGTAAGAAGAAAAGTTAAAATATGAACACACAGTTAATGTGAATTACTCTGTGGGGACTGAAAATGAGGCCATAAATTGTTGGGAACTGGCTGGTAAGCATAAAATCAGGGGAAATTCTGATACCAAGTGCAAGCAAGATAAATGGCAGAAAAGGTGGGCAAACTGACTTTACAGCTTCAAATATATGGCTTGAAAGTTTTCCTTACTTAAGGCTAAAAACCCAAGGCCAGTGCTAATGGTGACAAAACTGGACTGTTTTTAATGCAAAGAATATTTTGAAGGCAACACACAAACTCTATCAATTCTGTGACAAATGTCAATATCCACTATGGGCAAGCAATGTGCACACACACATACTAGCAGTTGCATTTTGTGAGAATCTTTATAAAACAGAAATCCACATAAAATAATTTTCTTGGTTTATTCCTTCTGTAACAGATTCCCCTGTAATTCTGATGAGCATAAATTGCTATGTATTCAGTTATTCAGTATTAGAGGGGGTGGGTTTCCCCATGCACTGCGACTAGTAGTCTATTGTACGTCCCCCTTTAATTTCTACTGTCGCCATACCCTACCGGTTCTGGTGCTCGCTATCTGCCCCTTTCTGCCAGCGAGGTTGGCCCTCTTCTGGCAGTGGTACCCGATAACTTCCCCATCTACCGGAGGCATTGGAAACTACTTGGGCCAAAAACTTTTTGCCTAATTTTGCTCAGAGGTCTTCTAGAGACATGACAATCTTTTATGTGCCGTAAATCTAAGACACGGGACCCCCGGCTTAAAGTCCCTCCTGGAGGACTTGTTCCTGAATTTTTCCGCCCTTAAAAATTCCACCTCTGCCGGGTTTGAACCCGCGTACCTTGAGTCATGAGGTGGCAACATTACCCCAAGACTACGGAGGCCGCTTAATCGCTATGTAAATTACAACACTTACTTTTGTAATGAACAACTTACTTGCTTCAGCGGTGACTTTCCCACATCACCATTCACCAGTGGTGGAGACATGGGAGCAGCTGGTGCAGGTGGTGACAATGGACCATTAGGCAAAGTCATTGGTGGGGGGGGTGGTGGTGGTGGAGGAGGAGGAATGTTGCATGGAGGAGAAGTGGGGCACTGCTGCATGGTGAGAGGTGGTGGTGGAGATGGTGCAGCCTGCTGCTGCTCTGGTGTGGGTGGTGGAGGTGGCAAATCTGTCTGAGGCTGCTGTTGTGGTTCAGGAGTATTATTTCTGCTCAGGGAATGAGAATGGGCAGTATTGTGATTTGAGGGTGGAGTAGGGGTAGAATGGGTTGAAACAGGAAGTGGACTTCCTGATCGACTGCCACTCCGACTTCTGGATCGAAGATGGGAAGGGAATGGTCCATTCATACCAGGTGGAGAACCAATGGTTTCAACAGGTGGAGGAGGTGGTGGAGGAAGGGTTTCCCTCCCAGCACTCATACTCCGTCCTCGAGTTGGCGTATTGGTGACAGACGATACAGTTGGTGTACTGAAAGAAATGGTTTACAATGTACTTTCACTTCAAACAGGTTCCTTTAAATAACAAAGTTATGATACTACAATTTATAATCCTTGTGGAATGTACAGAAAACAGAAGACAATTTCCCATAGCCTCAACGAAGTTGAATAAATGTACAAATCAAACAAAAAGCAGATTGATGTAATCTACTTATACATCTTCAGAATTTCAGTGTTCCACATCTACGTCAGATTTTTCTACAATGTGGTGATACCCCTAAGTTTACACAGTAGAAAATAAACTGAACTCAGCCACTGATGATAACTGATTCTGTTAAGTTCCAGTGAGAAATACTGTGAACTTATATGGGAAGTAAAGAAATGAGAACAGCCTGAACAGCCTACATCTGTTGCAGTGTTCCAAATAATGATCTGATTTGTATGTTATGTGAGTAGTACACACAGTAGGTGCAGGATAGGTAAATTAAATCAAACTGAGCATTTCTGAAAGCTCTGTGGACCTGAAGTATGTCAGTCTTTCATATGGGAATACAGATACAATTGCAGAATTAGCACAAGGAATTTATAGATATCTCTCATGCCATGAATGACAAGACAGGAAAGATGCAATCCATAATGTAGTGCACACAGTTTTAACATGTCTTCCCTGCACCTTGGCATTATCAACATTCATAATTGTTCCAAATACAATTTCTTTTTTTCCTCACAACCCAGCACTCACTTTGCATAATCCTCTTCCAAGGCACAAGCAAACTAACTCAATACATGCAATATGCCCCTAAGTCACAGGCTATAGAAGACTATGTCCACTTGGTATAATACAGAAAACTGTATAGAGCACATAACTACAGTTTAAAACTGAAATATGCTGCCAACATTTTGTACATCTCATTCACCTATTGCTGGAGTTGTTGGTACTAGGTGGAGCTGGAGGAGGCTGCGAGGGGCGCTGCGAAGTGGCCCGTGTTCCATTGCTACGACTAGGAGTATGATTGTTTGGAGTAGGGTAACTATCCCCAGCCATAGGCTGACCCTGTATGTACTGTTGCTGATAAAGAGATTCTTCATAGCCGACAGGATAATTGGCTCTGCAAAAAGGGAAATGACAACAACATTATAAGTTTTGAGGTCTTCAAAGGAGTGACATTTCAGATTGTGGTCTCCTGCATAGTGACACTGTGTAGTCTTGTAGGCAGCATGTTCCTTTGAAACACTGGTATCCACCTACAAGACTAAAATGGTGTCACAGCTCAGAAGACCACAATTTGAGGTGAATATCATACATAAAATAGGCATCCACTGTTTCATTAAAGCTCTCTCTAAATGTATATTTTTGGCATATGATCCTTTCATTAAAATTTTAAAAACACTGGCATAAACATTATGCCAATGGAGGTCATTCCAACCTCATACTTTCAAGCTTTCCACATTAAACACTGACAAGAAGGCAGCAAACTTGTGACATGGAAGTGACATTAACAACAATTAAGGTAGGGTTCTGAAATTATGTATGGTAGAATAACTTATAAACTACTTTTTGTTGAAGTAATTTTTTTTAATAACATAAACCAACATAGTGGCAATGAAAAATTTTTATATGGCTTTATCTGATAGCAATAACTGATGAAACATTTGAGCTAGACATATGAAATTTGGTATGCAGACACATCAGGAACCTATGTACAAATTACATATGCAATGCTGCCTTAAAGTCAGCAATTATAACATGGTGACAGTGTGAATCTTTGAGGCTGTATACAATAAATTTAATGCAGAATCTGTACTTAATAGTAAAAATAAAATAACATTTTCCAACATATTTACAACTGCAAGCAAAAATTAAATATGTGACATGAGTGGACTTTAACTGTATGTGTAAATTGCACACACCAACAAGATGATCTATGAAATGAATTACATTTTACTGTTCCACTATAAATTTACATTATTAACCAGTTAAGTGGGTATGCCATCTTAACATGTCATGCACTACTTTGTATCGCAGTGGGTATCATGTCTCTAAATGTCATGCACGTTTCCAACTGAGCCATTGTAGATGTAATGACAGTCAGCAATGCAAATATGTATGTTGTGCTTGTTAGATCTTCTAGTTACTTCAGAGTGTGACAGGAAGGTGCTGATTGCTTGATAGCTGTCCTGGGTTCGAGTTTCTGTGAGTAAACATTATGGCGGGTCCTAGCAAGATGATTTGTGTGAGTGATGACGTGTTATATGAACTACTGTAAGAGAATTAACACAGTGATATTTCTGACAGCGTATATAGGAGTGACAGTGAAATAAATGAGAAAATGTCATCAAGTGGTGAACAGAGTGTCAGCTCTGACAAAGAAAAAAATGTCAGTGACAACAGCAGGATGCAGCATAGCATATTGTCAAAGTCATGCACTGAGCGATCATGTTTTCCATTTACTGGCAAGCCTGGCACAAATGTTTAGTATACACTGCAGTGCAGTGATCTCCCCAAATATTAAGTGTTGCCTGATGATTGCCCATGTGCAACCGAAAAATGTAGCAGCAAGAATAACAAATGTGCATAGTTAATGACATTTTACAATTTAAAAATGGTGCCCTAATACAACAGGATGCTGAAATATAATATTTTATGAATTCTGCCTGGAACTCAGTGCTGTCACTTGACAACTCAAACTGATTAAATTCACATTTTATATGTATAATTACTGTAAACACTTAAACCTTAAGTCTCAATCGAGTAACTTAAATTACCTATAAATGTTCAATATTAGCACAACCCTTATGAGAGTCTTTCTAAACAATATTTCCACTACATTCATCTCTCTCTTTGGCTGAGCGCTAGCAAAGATGTTGGACATATGGATTCATGCAGCAGTTTGCTGCTTGTTTGACTTATTCTTCAGCCCAAAAGATGGAGGTGTTACATTCCTCCAAAATATTAGTAAATTTCTACCAGACTACATGATATCACATCCCACAGGAAGGCAATCTTTACAGTTATTACCATGATAAACACAAACAATGTACTTCAAGAGTGGAGCCAATGCTCCAACAGTACAAAAATGGGTAAATAACAGTTCCCAGAGGTTTAGTATCACACAAATCAGACAATCTTTAAAACAATTTTCTTCACTCACAAATATAACATAGCCCCCTAATTCTGACTGAAAATAACAGTAACATCACTGTAACATACACTCAGGAAAATGTAACACTACTATTTATTTATTAATTGGCTTCTTGTGCCCTACCTATAGTGCGATTCTGTAGGGCTCTGTGTATGCCGTGGACTATACACTCCTGAGTTACCACTATACACTGAATCCACTTGCTCGGGATAACTTCGACGCAATTCAATGCTGTTGGGTCTTGGAGGATGTGGTTCTGACATCCCCATTCCCATTGTTAGGAGTGTTTCATCAGGCTGCTGAACAGGCTAATGGGCAAATTACAGGAACACATCAGTATAAACATAATAACTGAGAACCTATGTTGTCTTATCCTCTACAATTAGGTTCACGGTCTAGTACTAGTGACAGCACTACTTGGCCTAGCACTGAGAAGTGAATTATGCAATTTATGCTTCAAACACATATGACTTTATGTTTATCTCAAGTATTACTGAATTCATGTGAATATCAAGACACCCTTCAGCATTGAAGATAAGAGAGAAAGTTTTGTTCTTAACAGCACCTTAGTCTTTTTCTGAATTGATATTAAAATCATAATTTGAGGTGAGCTCCCTTGTGTTTACCCTTTCATTTCCTTAAAACTGTATTTGTGTCAATTTGAATTTGTTTACCAGCATAAATACCAAAACCAAATTACACAGATATAAATAAAATGTTACAAACATAAATACATGATGCCTCACAGTGAGACAGTCACTGATATGCACAACAAATGCCTATATCAGAAATTTAACAGACAACATAAAATGATGGGCGAATTCTTTCATAAACACAATTTTTGCAAGTGCTACCTCACTCACATTTTCTGAAAACGTTTATTTCTGAGCATTTCAAGCAGTCACTCAGTATGTAGTCCATATCCAACTTTCATGCAGCCCTTGATACGACAACTGTACTTTCAACTTCATTCTCTTTGGCTTCCTTAATTTGGGATCATACAGTATTGGTTGTTTGTCTAGTATATTAAAGACATCGCATGTTCTGGATACAATGCACAGTCAATAGCCTTTCCTCTCTATATTATATGTTATAATTTTGCATAACAAACTTACTGACATATTGCATACTGCCCAAAATGTGTTGTAAAAATTAATGATTCATAAAATTTCACATGGGCCCCTTCAATTTACATTAAAAACCAGATCATTGCCAAATAAAATTATGAATAATAATGTAAAGTTTTTGATCACAACTGAAGATACCAGAAACACATACATGCATCCTGCTCCAAAACAGAGTGAGATTGCACGTGTGACCTTCAAGTAAATAAATAAAGAAAATTAATGCACATAAAGTATTAATGGTTTGTGTATCACTCTTTTTGGTCTTCTCTTTCCTCTCTGACTGTGAAGTGAAAATTTCTGATAGAAACAGAAAAAGTAGGGCTTTCAGACATACATGTAATAAGAGTTTAGTATACTGATCACAAATACACAACAAAATTCCAGTGAACTCTACTATCATTTAGTGCTGTAGAACAGCATTATGTCACATTAATATACAAGGTGTGGCAATAAAGAACCCGGATTACTTTTATGACTCATTTCCGGCCACGTCATTGACGAAGAGGAGGGTAGGGCATTGACCCTTGGACTTCCTTCTACCGTCACACAAAGTTTCATTCACGTGCATCGGTTAGTCTGGCCGCGACCATTGTTAGAAGCGGATCGTGTTTCTGAGCTCCGTCGGAATAATGCTGAGTGCTAATGCAGAACAACGTGCTAACATCAAATTCCTCACAAAACTTGGAAAATCTGCCACTGAAACTTACAATTTGTTGACAGAAGTATATGGTGATCAGTGTCTATCTCGCACGCAAGTTTTCGAGTGGTTTAAGAAGTTTATGGAGGGTAGGAAAAACGTCGGGAACGATCCAAAATCGGGCCGTCCTCCCACTGCGAAAACTCCAGAGAATGTGGAGAAGGTCGCTAGAATTGTTCGAAGAGATCGTCGACTGAGCATTCGAGCAATTTCTGAACTTACGAACATCAATAAGGAAAGTGTTAGACAGATTTTGCACGACGATCTGGGCATGAAAAAGGTGTGTGCTAAAGTGGTGCCAAAAATCCTTACCCCCCAGCAAAAGGAACATCGAGTGAATTGCTGTGTTGACACTCTTGAAAACATTGAAAATGATCCTGATTTCTTCCAAAACGTAATTACGTGTGACGAAACTTGGATTCTTCAATATGATCCAGAGACTAAGCGACAATCCATGCATTGGAAGAGCCCCAAATCCCCTAGGAAGAAGAAAGCGCGCATGAGCAAGTCCAAATTCAAAGCAATGATGATTGTTTTTTTCGATATCCGGGGGGTAATCTACATTGATTGGGTGCCTGAAGGTCAGACTGTCAATCAGGTTTATTATAAAAATGTTTTGACGTACCTCCGTGAACGTGTGCGACGAAGGAGACCAGACATGTGGAAGAATGCCTCATGGGTTCTTCATCACGACAACGCGCCAGCACACAACGCGCTATCTGTGAAGAGGTATTTGGCAAAAAACAACATTCCAGTGATGGAACATCCACCGTATTCTCCGGACCTAGCACCGTGCGACTTTTTTCTCTTCCCAAAAATCAAGTCTGCGCTGAAAGGGACCAGGTTCGAGTCCGTGGATGCAGTGAAAGCAAAAGCGACGCAACTCTTGAAGAGCATAACACAAGATGACCTGCAGCACTGCTTCCAACAGTGGAAAATTCGCATGGAGCGGTGTAGGGATCGGGGAGGGGACTACATTGAAGGGGATAACATTTCGACTGTCTGATTTTTTTTTAATAAAGGGTTAGAGCATGAATCCGGTTTCTTGCCACACCTTGTATAGCCACATTCATAAATAAAATGCTGACACTTCGCACCTTTCAGATCTTCCATATCATTAGCTGCATGGAAATGAAATATCATAGCTGCATATGAGTTCAACAGTACCTGTGGTGTTCTATAATGAATGTTCTGTGGCATGATATATTCCCCGTGCCCCACTGCCAACTGGCGCTGTCTTTCCCTTGTATTATGTGGTTGCCGGACTCGCTTTTTATGCCGACCACCACCTCCTTCATTGCGTGGACGGTGAGGCTGTAATATATATTTCCAAAAATATGTTATCAATTTATTCTTCACAGTGGTATTATGGTTAAAATTTCCACATGAATTTGAAGTGTCTCAAAAAAGTATGCATTTTTATACAGAGTATCTATGCATGCATTCAAGGTGGAACCAAAACTTAATGTGCCTCTATGTAGTCCGTCATGCATTGAACAGATGGCACACATTACAGCTAAAACATGCAATATCTTACACACAATTCAGAATGTAATATAAAATTGCAGAGGTTTACTTGACATTCAAGAAAAAATTCCTGCTGATTATGGCCTCACTAGCACATTGTCCTACAAAATTCTTTGGTGAATATGTGAACTATTTCATTCTTCCCATTCAGATGTAAGCAAGGTCTCTCAGATAACTGTTTGTACATGTCTTGCACAGTATTATCAGTACCAATATATCACACATTCTTGAGGCTCAGCTGCAAATGCACATCTCTACTGCCTCTGCACTCACACACTGTCTCTAATTTCCAGTACCACTTCAAAATCAACTCAAGCTGCCTTAATGTCAAGTGAACCTCTATCATTCTGTATTACACTCTGAATCATGGGTAAGGCATTTTGGTTTTTAAATAATATCTGACATACTCTGTTGTATGCAAGCCTCTAGTGCTCTGAGAGGCATATCAAATTTTTTTCCCAGGATGAATATATGAAATACATATTTTTTATTAAAATGCATATACATTTTCCTGAGACACCTGTACATGTAAGTATTATAACACTGTAGTGTGTTGCTTAATATTATATTCCTACATATAATACTCTATTTGTTTTGTAAAAAATAATGAATGGTGCCTTCCTAGAGTTCATGTTTGCTTGAAAACGTAATCAGCGATCATAGATGGTACACTTCAAAGAAATGTGAGTGTGGGCAGTAAACAGGCCAACAAGATTTTTACCCAAATATAATCTTTAAGAGACAAATACTCCAATATCTTCCATGGAAACACTGTCTCAGCTGCCCAAACTTACAGCATACCACCTCCAAGAGCTACTACCAAAGAAAGATATTCTGTACACAAAAATGACATAATTATCTCTCATGGTGAACTGAATGATCTGCAACAATTCTGAAATGTATCGCAAGCTACAAAAATTCACATTGTGTTTTCATGTTGATACAGTGAATAAACTACCATCTCTGTTGTTAATTTTAAAGTTGCATAACCCTGGAAAATCAATTTCAACTGTAAAAGCTTTCAAAGAGCATGTGAGATTATTAATGTGCACACTAAAAGAGTTTCCTGAGAGGACTATATGCTACAGTAATGAGTAAAATGGTCACACAACATGATTTCAGCTCATTGCATTTTCAATTATGAGTCAGTATAAATTAGTGGTTAAATCTAAACCTTCAAGTGTGTTAATAAGCAATGGATATGTAAATGAATGAAATGTTAATCCTCCCATTAAGTTAAGATTTCAGTTTCATCAACACACTACAAAAAGACAGATCACAGTGTTCATTCCATGCATGAATAAGAGTCATTATACTTTCAGAACACGAAACAGCAATCACAAAGAATGCAAGCACTCTCATTTTCATAACTTGCCTCGTAGTATGTACCCCCCAACAGCAATGGCTACAACAAATGAATACACAGTATTTAATGAAAATTTTTCACAGCATCAATAATCAATGTTTAGAACACATATTTGGAACATGTAAAACACATACCTTTTTCCCTCGATCATGCATCATTCTTTCTGTATCTTTGAGCATCTCTTGCCGCCACAGGTCAAAGAAATAATTTGCATCAGTATAAAATTTTAAACCATCTTTACCATCCTCCCTGCAGAAATTAAAGAAGTATTTTAAAAATATGAAACACCAGCCATGTTTCGGACTGTATTACTGACAATACAATACAGAACAGTTATTTTGTAAGTATCAAATACCAAATCTAATACACAGAATGTCCCAGAAACAGTTACACAAAATTGGAGAGCAAGTACTATACACCGACACAGTGAATATTGTGACGTGGGCCGTTTCTATGAAACAAATTGGAAATACGTTGTCACAGAAAGATTGATTCCTGGAGACCAACTGATTATGGAACACAGTTTCCAGGGATAGGGAAACTCAAAGCTGTGAACACTTAGGAACAAGACTGATGCTTCGGAATGAACACACAGTTTCCAAGACAACACATTCACGAAGAGCAGTAAGGGAACCCTTGGAGGTGGTGATTTCTATTCGGTTCTCTTACAGTTATAAAAAGGGAGTTCATTCGCGCATTCAATGCAGTCAGAGATTCATCAGAGAGACATCATTCAGAAGGAGCATGAGCTGTTATATTGACTGTAATTGTAACGAAGCGCCAAGAAACCTAATCATAAAATCCACAACCCATTATTATTAGTCACACAAACCCCAGATACATGACAATATATAAACATACACACTTCCTTGCCAATTGTTTGTGCACTTCATCTTCTTTGACCTACAACAGAAGGGCCAACAGTACCAGTCTCCCTGATGTGATTATCAATGGTGTAACACATGCTTGGGTTCAGAAGTCTATGTTGAGGAGACTTTTCCAAGTACAACAATACAGCTCCAGCACAATTATCACAGGCTTCAGTGAGCATTAAGTTCATACCGGCATATTCTTGGAATGTGTAGTTGTCAGTTTTAAGCACAGAATTACATTGCAATTACACCGTGAGAAAACAACATTTAACTCATGTACAGTTCATTGGAAATGTATGCCTGATATCACATGCTAGCGTATGTGGTCAACACACTATCACTGTAAACATGACAACCATATATTTTGTTTTTGAATGGGGAAGGTGGTTGTGATAGACAAGTAATCATTCGCATCATCCAATCTACACTCCAATTCCCTTCAAAAGCGTCTAGCATACAACACTCTTGTAGCCACAGTGCTAATCCTGCTGTTGCTGAACACTTTCAAGTGGCTCTACTTCATTACTGAAGCATATCTGGACCCATTCTTATATAAACTATTTTCACTGTTTTTGGCCATAGTACTCATACTCCAACTTTCTGTGCTTACTCCTGGGACACTCTGTACTTACAATCACTTGTGATGGATCAAACACTGATAATCTGGGTAGTATCTATTCAAATGATCACACAATCAACAGTCTCTAACTTCTGCCTTACCACATCAACATACAGAAAATTCATAAAATGTTCTGTAATTAATTTCTTGTTGTATACATAGAAATTTACTAACCTGTAGGAATTCAGTTTATCCAGTGGTGGTGGCTTATCACAAGTCTGGTATGTTTCAAGCATGGCAGTAGGCATGGTATCACGTGAAACTACTTGTTGGTCAAATACTACTGAGCTCTTAAAAGCCTTTCTCATATGAATATCTTGTAGGGAAACTGTAACATAAAACAGTATTATCAGATATTTTCAACAGGCACCACACTACAGCCCTCGGGTCGACTCAGCCTCTAACAGAAATGAATACCAGGAATATTCTTGGAATGTTCTTGGGGGTAAAGGGAGGCCAGCATGTAGGGCTGACAACCTCACTGCCATCTGTGAGCTGACTGTCTAGAAAATGAGGGAACCTTAACATCTCACAACCTTATGGGCCTCCATGGTCTATTACAGGGATACCTTTACTTTACTTACATGGTATCCAATATATGTTGATTCTGCTTAGCATGTATTTACTAAAAAGCGTACCCAATTTTCCAATAATTTCATACAGTGGGAAGTGTACTTGTAAACTGAAGTACACATACTTTCTATTGCATCCTTTACAATGCTGCATATCTGATTTTTTCCCTGATACAAATATGAGGGTTATTCAGAGAGTAACATCCAGTGAGCTGTTAAAAAAACAAACTATGAGAAAAAAATATGTACATACTTAAGCTACTTCATAATGTAGTCACTGCCAGGATTGAGGCACTTGTAGTGGGAAATAAGCTTTTCTATGCCTGTGTGAAAAAGTCTACAGCCTGTGAGCTCAGTCACATTTTTACACCCTCCACCAACTCATTATTGCTGAAGCACTGTGAACCCAATCAGTTCTTCAGGTAGGCAAACAGGTGGAAGTTGCTCGGTACGAGATCAGGGCTGTGGTCCTTGTTGCATGATATCCATCCTCAGCACTCCTCCCCTGTCCCAGGAAACAGCTGCCACAAGCTTTCTGACAGACAATGTTTCTTTAAACTTTTTTGGCTTCTGTGGTGAATGTGTGCGCATCCAGTGCTTTGACAGCTCTTTGGTTTCAATGTTCACACATGAAATGCAGGTTTCACCACCTGTCTACAAAAGCCGAAGCCATTAGCCGCATTTTGTGTGCACCCATTAGCATTTTCGGAACCCACCTTGCACAAAACCTGTGATAGCCTAGCCTAACTGTGATAATCTTGTACAGAACAGTGCATGAAATTTGTGGAAATTCACATGATATGTCTATAATTGTGAAGTACCATCTTTCACAAATTTTTGGTCAACACTTTGAACAAGATCATCACTCACTACAGATGGCCGGCTGACCACTGGGCTCCTGATCATGAACATCTGTTTGCCCATCTCTGAACAGTCTACATCATTGTCTTATACTTCCTTCACTCATTACATTTTGGCTATAAACCACTGTGCATAATTCATGATGGATTTCCACAGCACTCATGATTTTAGCATGATGAAAGCAGATAATGACACAAATTTTGCAGCTGGCAAAATCAGCAATCACCGGACACATCATAACACACTCCGTAGAGACAAGAACAAAGACTAGATGACCAGTTATGTGATGGTTTACAAGGCAATGAGTCATGTGATGCTATCTTACATGTGCGAACTCTCCCCTACTCCTATACTGGTTGCCTAAAATAAACAGAAATTACTTTCTAAATAGCCTTCACATAATTCCCCACTCAAGTTGTAGCACACTTTGACATTGCTGTATTTGAAGTTAACAGAATTGGCACAGTCCAGCTGCAACTTAATGTCCCTTATATCAGCACCAAACTCTGTCCACAATGAAACACTACCAACAGTGACATCAGCTCTTTCCACCTCAAAGCAGCACTGGCCAAGAGTCACATACTGGCCAAAGACATTGCCAGTTGTTCCTTTTTTGTATGCAAGCACTGTTCAGCTAGGCACACTGGTATGTATTCTGCAAGTTTGAGACTGCACTCTTCAACATTTGCCTGACGTTCAAATGAAGATCTGACAACATCACAACATTTTTCAACCCAAATTTGAGCCTGACATATAACATACATGCAGGACTATGTAGTATTAAATTCCAGTTTCATCACAGTGAATAATGTACTTAAATCTTGGACAGCCTATAAATGAAATCAGTGAGAAAACCCAGTTCACAGAGCAATACAGCTGTAGTGTGGAACTCAGCGGTATGGATCTGCTGCAATTTGTCAGCTGACAATGAAATTCAAATTTTATAATCTTGTTAAGCCATTAACTCTGAAACAAAACACTTTATTGGAGTGCCATGGTTTGGAGGAAAATACAGCCTCTATCTTCAGGGTCAAAAAGTAAGCCAAGCAAGAAATAAGAAGCAAGCAGCTACAAACTACATGACATTACAGTCCAGAAGACTGTACTCTTGATACAATTTTATTATTTAAATAACTTTAAATCAATATAAAACTTGGGAACAGTTAGCACACCAAGTTTTAATTGTTATTATGTCACACATACCTTCTTCAACATTACTGTCTAGCTGAGTAACTTTCACAGCCAAACGATCGATACGTGTCTGCAGCGAATTTGCTCTGGCAGCCAAGCCATGTGCTTCCCGTGCTAGTTCCCCAAACAGATCTTCAGCATGACGACTCAAGCTTGACAACTGCCGCACTGTGTTGGCCAGCGTACCATTAGTGGCTGCCTCCAATTCTGACGGCAGAGGGAAATCTTCTGGTATGGTGCCTCGTGCAACATGCACAGGCTCCACCATGCGTTTTGGCAGCGGCATGCTGGTCGGCACCGCGCACTTTCACGACATGACCTAAAACAATTAAAGATCATATTTAATTTTAGTTTGTAAGCCTTATATACATTTTAGAGCATCGCCCTTCTGCAAACTGTGTAAATATAAATGGTAAGTATTATTATTATTATTGTTAGAGGGGGTGGGTTTCCCCATGCACTTAGACCAGTTATTGGTCCATTGTGCGTCCCCTTTTAATTTCTACTGTCGCCATACCCTACCAGTACTGGTGCGTGCTATCAGCCCTGTTCAGCCAACGAGGTCGGCCATCGGTACCTGATATTTCCCCCATCTACCAGAGGCATTGGAAACTACTTGGGTGGGAAACTGTTGCCTAATTTTGCTCAGAGGTCTCCTAGAGACATGAGGATCTTTTACGTGCCGTAAATCTACAACAAGGGACCCACGGCTTAAGGTCCCTCCTGGAGGACTTGTTCCCTGAATTTTTCCGCCCTTAAAAATTCAATGACCTCGGCTGGGTTTGAACCCACGTACCTTGAGTCATGAGGTGGGAACGTTACCCCTAGACTATGGAGGCCGCTTATGGTAAGTAGTAAATATAAATAATAGTAACATGATAATAATCAGAATACAAAACAGAAGCAGGGCAAATAAAGGAAAATAATATGAAAGTAATGTTGTATCTGTGGAAAAGCAGCATGACACAAAGGTACATAAGTGTGCAGTGGAAGTTACATCCAGATTCATGCTTAAACTGCTTCACTGCCAGAATATGAGCCACTGGGACTAAAATGGACAGAAGGCTGGTGGCACCTACAACCATTCTGGATGTAATGGGAAAACACTCCATTTCCTTGACCTTCAAGCCACTGTCTAGTTCAGCAGAACATAAAAATAATTTTGAAGGAAATTTCTTCACTTAATAGTAAACAACTTTCTCAGTCAATGGAAATGTGCTATCACAATAAGAGTACATTTCTGCATAAGACAGTTACTCCAGACAATCATTTGAGATACCTGATAAACCACAAACTGGATCTACTATAGTACGTTCTTCAATCTCCATGTGATATTCATACTAAAAAGATTTGTTTATAAGTTGAAGAATACCATCTTCTGGGATCTAATACTGTGCAGTCTGCTGAGCATCAAGCAACATTTTGGAGGAACATATCACCTCAATCTTCTGGGTTGAAGAATAAACTGAGCTCTGCTTGCCACCAGCTTTCATGCTGCTTTCTTGCTATGCTTATTCTTCAACCCAGAAGATGGAGGCGACATGTGCCTCCAAAACACTGACTGACTTTCAATGGACTACATTGCATTACATCCCAGAAGATAGAATTCTTCATAACCACCGCTGTGAGAACCTCAAATCCTACATTGTTTATTGGGTGTTTCTTTATTCCTGTGGCAGTGGTCAGGATGGTTGCCACAGTTCCATAATATTCACAAGGTCCTGGGTTCAAATTGAACTTATTAGATTTTGTCACAATTAGGGCATGTTTTAATCTTCCATGTATTTACTTATTTCTTTGTCTGCGAAACAAAGGAAAAAGATCACCACTGTACCAAATGAAATATAAGGTCACCAAGTAAAGATTGTGTAACAGACATATAAGTTTTATTAAAATGAAAACACATCAACAGCTTCTGAAACACAGGTCCCGTTTTTTCTTTCCCATTACTAGCATTATGTTTGCTCCATGGCCCACAACCTTGTATCACTTCTAGTCTTCAGTAACATGACACTACAAATGTTACCAATGGCTAACATTATTAAAACTGAGGGACCTGAACACATACATGTATTTAATTTCCATGCTCGAAATACAAACAGGACACCAGATTAACCTTAAAACGAAAATGAATGTAACACATCATAACATTTCAGGACACTTATTTTTCTGAAACTAAAGTCATAAATGTAAATCAAAATCATCCTCTTCAAAATAGTCTCATCTTCCAGTTGAAAACTATGCGCCAATCCTGGTGACTACAGCTGTGCTTAGACAGGAATTCCTTTATGCAGAGAACTGCGCAACACTGTTGTGATTCAACATCATGCACTCAACTTCCATTTTCCAGGCTATTTTCATCGAACTTCATCTCTTAAGACACTCCAGAACAACCTGACTGTCTGTAACTATAGACTTTTCCAGAAACACAAATTACAGTTTTCTGTGTTTGATAATGGAGTTGATGGTTAGGGGTGGCTAGAGCATGAAACTGACCATTCACCTTCATCTAGTGCCATGGTTAAGATGTGTTTTCATAAAAACTTGGGTATATCATTAAAGTAAGGCTGAATATAGGGCATAAGAAGTATGGAAACATACTTCCAAGACACTGCACCTATGCAGCTTTGACCTCGGTCTATAACAACTCATCTTGCATGTCCTCATGATGTAGTCCCTAATTATGATAAACAGTACGTAAGGATAAAAATTTAATAAGCCTAAGTTTGTCTCCCTGATGTTTACATGTGTGTGTTTTTATCCATACAAGACACTGAGTTCTTTAAATAAGGTGGGGGGTCTGATATTAAAATTAGTTTTTGGAGGAAAATGTTAAAATTAAAAATGACTGTGGCAGTGAACTTCCTACTGCTATTCTGAGTTAATGATCAAATACTGTACATACACCTTGTTCAGAGTGAAGGCTGATTGGACACTGATTTTACCGTCAGCAGTTTCCTGTGAAATCGCTGCATCACTTGCTGAGAAAAAAGCTGCCATGGGGCCAGTACAGCCAGTACACATTTTTTTATTTCTTTTGTTAATTATTAATCAAATACAGTAATTAATATTGTACTCACCATCATATAAGATGTTCAAAATGTCTACCCTCTGCTGTGAGATATGTCTGAATTCTTTTAAATAGATTTTGGTAAACTTGTTGCAATTCACACTGCTAAATGTTTTAAACTGCTTCATGAAGATTCTGTTTCAGAGCCTCCAGGTCATGTGGATTGTTGGCATACACAACAATTTTTTTAGTTTTCCCCACAAACAAGTCATAGGGGTTTACATCCGGGGATCTAGGGAGCCATGAACCCTTGCTAATAATTATATCATCCCCATTCAGTTCGCCAAACACACCGCTCGGATTGTTTCCTTAGCTTTGTGTGGAGTTGCGCAGTCTTGCATAAAGTAACCAACTCTTTCTTTTGTAGGTGTCAAATTAACAAAAAATAGATTTGACTATTTCATTAATGTATTGTTCAGTATCAAGAGTTTCTTCATAAAATATTGGTCCAATTATATGGTTTGCACTAATGGCACACCATATGCCTATCTTTTTGTTGTAAAGGGGAAGCTGAATTAGCGCATGAGGCTTTTCACTAGTACAATACCTGTTGTTTCATCAGTTAACATATCCCGAGAGATTGAAATTAGCCTCATCTGTGAAAAGTGTCAGCTTAGCATCAAGAAGTCCGCCATGCACATGACTGATAAATCAATTATAAAACCTCACTCTTATCTCATAATCCATAGGTTTAATTTCAGGAATAACAGTAATTTTATAAGGTTTCATAAGGACATATATGCAACAGTTTATTTGCTGTCCATGCACTGCCTACAGAAACACCACTTTTTTGTACTAATCGCAGCAAAGAATTGAGGAAAATTTTCTAATCGGTGACTGATGTCATCAAGTTTTTCCTCAGTTAGAACAGAGTTTCCTTTTAACGGCGTTCCGTCAATTAAAATGCTGTGGGTTCAAACTTTCTTCAGTAATTTGGAAATTGTATCCCCAAATGGACATGTTGGGTCAGAAAACTTTCTCCTGCATGATTTGTATGCATTTTTTAACACAAAAATCATAAATGAAAACTCTGTTTTAAACTGTATCTCACACAAGCCACTGAGCAGTACTGCTAAAAATAATTAACAACGGTGTTATGTTTAATGGAAATGCAGACGTTTTAATTAAAGTAAATGAATAGTTTACTCACAGTCATGAGTGATTCTGTAAAACCACAGTGGTGTATAAAGAACGCCATGCTTCTGCTAGCAGGTAATGTATAACTAACATTTAAATACTCAAAACGATTCTGAAGCATGTTACGGCTAAATGAAAAGTCGTCATGGCCACCTTATAATTCGTGAAGCATAATGAAGGGATCCTCATTCTGAAATTCAGAATGGGAATTTCTGCATCCGGTTCAGTATGGGCTGATAAGAATGTAGGTGAAGGTAAGAGAACCTCTTGGGAGGGCAACAGCGTCTGACAACAATCCGTAAGCGAGAGCCAAAAAAAGAAAAAGCAGGGGACAGTGTTTAAGGCTGTGGTTCCTTTCTGTCATCCGCTACATCATTGATTCAGGGAAGACCAAAATCTCGTGGACGTTGCTCGCTATCCGTTGCGCTGGGATGAGTCACCCAGCAGCCTGTACCCCACTGCCACTATGATCAATACCGGTTTAAGTGGGCAGCTGCGACCGGGCCACCGTGTCTAGACCGGTGTGTCGACGTCACCGCCACAGCCTCTCGTAATTTCAAACTGATTAGGTTTTCAAATACATAGTCGAGACGCCCAACAAGTCTACCGTCACTTGGCTGGCGAGGCACACCTGATCTATCACAGGGGTCTTTACACGACAAACTGGGGGGGGGGGGCATGAGCGTGTTCTCCCACCCATTACCAAACAAACGATGCATCAGGAAATTTAAATGTGTTGTTCATCCCATGATGGCGGGATACTGGTGAATGTCCCTTACCGTGTTATTTCTTATGGATACGGATAAGACTGTTGCTGGTATCTTTGTTAAATACCTGTCTGTGTTATCTATATAAGTTGATGACGAGTGGAGACATAAACAGATAAAACCCATAAAATAAACGACGGATGAGGTGTGGTATATTTCTACACGCCGCAACTTTTCTGTCGCTTATCCACAGCGGACTAAAGACAGGGGTTAAGAGATAAGGAGTGCAGTCAGTTACTAGCGGGCATGCTCGGCAAGTAAAAACTAAGTCACAACTGCCAAGCACAGTTTCAATCCCTGATGCCAGAAAATGCGTGTACATAAAATGACGTTTCGACCTCTTCA